CCATCGCGGCTTCTGACGCTCCTTGGGCAAGCGCTCAAGTTCCAGCAGCTCAGCGGCGTCCTTCCGTCCGAGCTCGATCTGTTCCAGAACGCGGCCAAGCGACTTAAGGTGGACCGAACGGAAGAGAAGATCCAGGCACCGCACGGCAAGATCAAGTTTAGCAAGGCGTCGTGCCCGCAGACCGCGCAGTTCAGCACGGACGGTATACGCTCCATCGCGTCCTCTTCGATGTGCTCATGGTCCTGTGCAGGCAGCATGCTCATCACGGGCACAAAGGATGGTTTTGTCGAGGCATGGGACTTTGACAAGTGCGAGCTCAAGAAGGACCTCGAGTACCAAGCGCGGGTACGCTGCACGGCTTGCACGCCATCCGAGTTCATGTTGCGCCTAGGACGACTTCATGATGCACGAAGTGGGCGTGTCGGCCGAAGCGTTTAGCCGCGATGGCGACCTCCTCGCGACCGCCAGTGTGGACGGCAAGGTCAAGGTCTGGAAACTCTCGACCGGGCAGTGTCTCCGCCGCTTCGAACACGCGCACGGCAACAGTATTCACAGCATTTGCTTCTCGCGCGATGGCACGCAGCTCCTCACCTCGTCCTTTGACCAACTCGTGCGGTACATGCGCCATTCGTGCCTTCATCATCGCTCATCTTCTTCTTCTTGATAGACTGCATGGGCTCAAGTCGGGCCAGACGCTCAAGGAATTCCACGGCCACGACGGGTACGTCAACCACGCGGTCTTTTCGACCGATGCGTCCAAGGTCATCTCGGCCTCGTGCGACGGCACGCTCAAGGTACATCCTGCGTCAAGTCCCAGCAGCTCTCTATCCCCATCGTATAGGTCTGGGATGTCAAGAGTGCGTCGTGTGTGGCGACGATGCGGCCGCCGCACGCCGCTGCCGGGGTCGAGATGGACGTGCTCTGCGTGCTCCCCGTGCCGACGCAGAAGGACGCCCTCGTGCTCTGCACGCGCTCGAACGCGCTGCATCTGATCAACTTCCACGGCGACTCGCTGCGTGCGTTTGTCGATCCGTTCGAGTCGATCGAGCCTAAAGGCGACTTTGTCGGCGCCGTGCTCTCGCCCAAAAGCACCTTTCTCTACGGCCTCACGGAGAAGGGCTACGTGCTCTGCTTTACGCTGGCGACCGGGACCCTCGAGCACGCGATGCAGGTCTGCAACGGCGAAGTCTTTGGCATCGCCCACCACCCGCACCGCAACGTGCTCGCTACGTACGGCAACGATGGCTACGTGCGTCTCTGGAGCGCCGCCAGTTTGGATTAATTCATGAACAAGACCGCGGACGGCGACGTCTCTAGCATACGGAAATGGAAATAAGAAAAAGACGGCGGGTAGAGAGGATCGATGTACGTACGGGCGACGGGCGGCCGCGTCTCGAGGGCGAGCGACGGTGGCATGTCGAGATGGTTGACCGATGCGTCCGGTACCACCTCCGACATCTATAGCAAACCACGCATCAGGAAGGGTTCAAGACGACACAACGATGGAGTATGCGACCATGGACGGCGTCGGAACGGCAAACGTTGGCGGTGTCGCTGGTCGTGCGTCGGCGCCTAAGCAGCGATGAGCTAAGCTAATCCACGGCGACGCGGGTAGTACGAGGAGGACTCTCGGCAGTTGTTCGCGCGTCTTGGAGCGCCGCGACGATGCCGTAGACCAGCGGGATCTGGTTGTAGCGCGGGTCTTCCGCAACTGCACGCCATGAGTCTGTATATGGAGGCTCAAGAAGATGACGTACTGTGGAGCTCGTGGGCGAGGAAGCGGCGCTGGAACGGGCGTTCGAGCGGCTGGCCCGACTCGGGCAGAAAGACCGAGAGCGTGTGGCGATACCCGTTGTACTCCAAGTACTCGCGGATAAGTTCGTTGATGATCAGGTTTTCGTTCGAGAGCTTGGGCTTCACGCCGCCCTACTTGGCAATAGGAGCAAAGAGACTGCGTGGCGGCCTCGCACCTCGTCCAAGGCTTGGAAGATCTCGGCGCGCAGCCGCGCTTTGATCGGACCCAGCGAGCCCCGTGCTTCAAGCGTTTCCTTGAGCGCTAGACGAGACCATCACGTGAGCTTTGTCGGGTCATACGTGGCAGCCTACCGTCCTTGAGGTCGCCCAGCGAGAGCGTCTCGTCCATGTTGCAAATTGATGCGGAATCCGGTTACGTTATCCGGAAGATCGCAGCGAAGCCATCGTGTTGCGCGGGAATTCCGACTCCCAGGCGCAGTGGCCCCACAGAGTGCACAGAGCGAGCCACGACCACACCCGAGCGACCAGGTTCCAGCCGCGAGAATCACCATAACCGGATTTCTCGCGCCACGTAGAGATCCACGCACGCCCCGAGCCTCGTCGAGATCACCCAGACCTGCGAACGTGATAGAGCGCGTGTCATGATGACATGAGCGGACTCTCGTGTCACCACGGACGCAGGGGATAAATCTTGCTCGGAACCATGGCAGCATCGATCGCTTCCTGCTGTGTGTGCTCAAGGGCGTTGTCCAGGACATCACGAGCGTCTCGATGGAGAGGATTGGGCAGCGTGAGTCTTTTGACCTGCGTTTTAGCAATCGCGTCGTCCTACTTTGTTGCGAACCGGTGTTCAGCTTTGAAGCGATCTTCTTGGAGCTCCTCGACTGGTTCTTGGTACTAATGAATAGCGTCGACGACGTGCTTTTTCATGCTATCTCTCGCACAACGCTGTGTTCTACCCCTTTCCCTAACGACGACAACACGGCTCTACACCTCGCAATAGGACCATTCGAGCAAAAGAGAAGATGGTAAAGTCAATAAATGAAATCTGCGATTGAAGCGCTCGGTGGCAAGGCATACTAGGGTCAAGGGTCCTTTTGATGGAGAAGGGCTCTCGAGCATGAGTGTCTGCCGTTGTGTGCTCGTAGCGGTACCGGGTGTGGCGTTTTCTGGCCTCAAGTGTCGCTGTCAAGGAACGGCAGGACACTCGAGGCGCCGTGACGCAAGTGCTTCGCCCAGGGTCAAGTAGCTGTGCACCTACAGCGGAGCGCCACCGAGAGTGAGGCTCGTACCGAAATGACTCGTCGTACGCGGAAGAGCAGTCGCCAGCGCCATGGCAGCCGTGTCGTCAACGGTGTCGTCGTCGAAGACGATCAATGTGGCACCGCGATGGATCCACTCGGGCACTGCATCGACCAAGATTGGGACCGTTGCAAACGAAGGACGGAAAACCGAGCACTCGTTCCATGCGAGCTCGTCGAGGATGCGCTGTTGGGAGATGCTGGCTGCAATGAAATTCCACATGGTCGAGGTAGACGGCATGCGGACAAACGAGAGGCCGACGCGCAGGACAGTACTAGAGTGGTAAGAACGCATCAGCTGGAATAGCACCGATGCAGTGCCGACGTTGACCAGCAAGGATATCCCCTTTTACTGATGGTTTCTTACCACTTGAGCGGAGCCTTGTCGTCTACGATGGCAGATTTCAATTGCCTCCGACATCAACACTACGATGCAGATTCCCTTGCTTGGTATGCTGTGTGCCTTTGCGGCCGCTGGCGCCGCTCCGAAAGACGCTGCGCCGACCGAAGGCGTGACCCACAAGCAACGATCCTCCAGCTCCAGCTGCCGAGGCCAACCCGAGCGGCGATGCCAAGGACATTCCAAGCGACGAATGGAGCCGTGGCGGTGGCCGTGGCATGCACCGTGGTGGCGGCTGGGGTCGTGGTGGCGGCTGGGGTCGTAACTGGGGTCGTGGTAACTGGGGACCTGGTCGCTGGGGACCTGGTCGCTGGGGTCCTGGCCGTTGGGGTCCTGGCCGCTGGGGCCCTGGTGGCTGGGGTCCTGGTGGCTGGGGTCCTGGTGGTGGCTGGAACCCCACTTTGTGCGACCAGTGGGGCAACTGCGCTGGCGGCTGGTAAGCTTGGTCGTAATTCCCTCTCAACACGAGTTTTTCCCCTGTGATCATTGCGAACCTGGAATTATTGTGCACTTTTTGTTCGCTGCGCGCTTAAAAGCACGTCGCCTGCTTTCATCAAGCATTTTCGCTGTTTTTGTAACTCGTCAGCCGTAGAAACGTCCTAGTTGCTATTTTCCATTGACCTACAGGAGTCCATCTATACATACGGGTTGTGGATAGACTGGTCTCGGATCGTACACAGCGCAGGCGCACAAACAAGAATGGTATATACAAACCATCGTCGGTAAAACTCCGATACAAACAGGTGGGCTACGCTGTCGGACTGGCGAGCGCAATGACGAGGCGGCGTGCCTTCTTGGAGAAGGTGGGACGTGTCGTCGCATTGTCGACGGCCCACGGCAGCGCGACTTGCAGGCGGTAGACGCCGGGGACAACAAACTGCAGCATGTCGCTCGAGACGTCCAGCGCCATGTCTCTCACCGATGCAAGAGCCGGCGTGTGGATCGTGAGCGTCATCTTTGCATTGTCCATGGTCGAGATCAGCTCGTACTGCGGCATGGCTTCACAAGGCATCGGTGTTGTTGTCTCGACCATCCGCTCGATTACCTCCTCCATTGGGGGCACAGGTTCGAGCGTCTCTACCTTGTTCTGGTGCCGTGTCTGGTTCTGGTTTGCGTCAGAGTTGTCATCGACAATTCGCTTGTCCGTATCGTCCTTGTTGACGTCAGCAGCTTCAATACGGTCCACCGGTGGCGGCTTTTTCTGTTGCAGAAGCTTGCAGCGGGCCGCTTGCTCCTTGGACAAGACCATCCCCCGAAAGCAGTGCCGTCCGACGCGGTCAATGAGGTGGGTATCGCCGGCCTCGGCGTCGAGGAGTGCTGAGAGGCGCTTCAAATCGCCAAGATCGAGCGTTTGCTGCCGCGTCCGGTCGCCGCCTTGGATCGCGTACACGAAGCTGTTGGCGCGACTCCACGCCGACTCGCGCTTGCCGTCTTCGTGCAAATGCGACGCCGCCGAGAACGGGTTGTCGCGCGGCAAGTAGGCCATGTTCGAGCCGAGCACGCGCGTATGCACGGCAAACTCGCCGTTCATATCTATAAGAACGTAGTACTCTTGTGAGGAGCGCCCTGAGATGTAACCTGCATAGTCGTTGGCGCACGCAAAGATAGATAGGAGGCCGGACGCGACGATCGCGTAGAGGTCGGGAAGCCAGCTCCAGAGCAAATCGTAGCGGCCCGACTCGACAAAGTTGCCAAAGCCCGTGTTATACCCGATGACGACGGTCGTCGCGACGTCGACGTCGTGGCTTGCGAGGAAGCTGCCTGTTGTCCCACGATAGGCATGGGCAGTTACCCGGCTCTTGGCGGTGCCGCCATGAACGCTCATCGAGACTTCGGGCCCGATGAACCAGACGTCAAAGGCGCGGTCTATACATGTATGTTCACGCCCTGGCTTTGCTGCCTCCGCCTCTGCGTCTACCGGTACCTGGGTAGAAGGCCGAAATCTCCGCCCAATAGTTGGTGTGGTTCCAAATGCGCTGCTCGGCTTTGACTGTCGCGCCAACGACAAGGATGGTGACAGTACGCCCCGGTGGCCAAGCTGCCTCGGCGTTGAGGAGCTTGGTCATGTACACCAACGTCATTGGGAACGAGAGCGCATCCAAGAAGGACGGGTCGTTCGTCGCCCAGGGCAGCAAACTGGTCGCATGGCACTGCCCCAAATAGCCTTGCCAGCCGATGGCCAATGGGGCTGTTGGCGCGGCGGCTCCACTGCGCCGTGGCAAGGCTGGAAATTGTTTGTGTTCGGTCCACCGAAACGAACCGCTGTACATCCCTACAAAACAGACGTGCATATTTCTGTGCTTCATTCAGGACACGGGTGTCGACTGGCTGTACCGTCGCCGCGCTGATCGAGGGCGAGCTCGGGCTGCATCCTCCTCCAAAATGGCTGCGATGGGGATCTGTGGCACGCGACTCTTCAAGATCGGAACAAAGTGCAACTTGGATCTTGGCGTTTCATGGACGCTGGCCTTTCGCAGCCGGCGCCATGTCGCGAAGCGGACCCGCAAGGATAATGCCATAGAAGGTGCATTGGCCCATCGCTGTCACCTCCGGCGGCGTGTGTACGTCCGACGTTGGTAACCCCACCTCGCTGCCCAAGGCGTGCTTGCCTAAGCCTCTGCCAGTGCCAAAGCAAGTGCGACGACGCCGTCGCTGTTACCCACGCATGTACCGTACCCGTAGCGCCACCGACTTGGTGGCACTATGGCGATGTCCCTCTCCTAGCATATACACACGCATCGGCCCGCTCGTCCTCGAATGTAATCTCTTTCCCTTGGCTCGTCGACGCGCTCGAAGTTACGGGTGTCTTCGAGTCCACGTGGTTTTTCGCAACACGACGACCGAATATTACTATACCTTTGTTCTTTTCTTGCATACATTTAGCAAGCTCCGCGGCGCGATTTCGAATAAAAAGCCGCGTTTCTACACATGGCTTCGAACTTCGAGCGCCATTCATTTGTACAGTGCGTAACGACTAAGTCTATACAAAGGTCGACTGGAATTAAAATAAATTGTTGTGTGAAACCAGCTGGCAGCATACTGAGGCGAAGAGAAGGGCTCGTGTGTAATCGCAGATT